GTCTTGAATGCATGATCCTCCTTCCTCAATTAGAAGTATGCTATTTTCTATTGTTCAGAAGAGGCAAATGAAATGGTAATCATACGGCAGAGAGACAGGTGCTATTTGAATACCCCACTATAATATGGAAATATATATATCTTATCACTGGTTCTCAGTTCCAGAGTCTTTACAGAGGATAAAGCATAGGATTATGAGACAGCTGTCCCAGGAGGAAATAGTTTTATAACTCCCAATTTGATCGACTAATGAAAACAGAAACCTGTTCATGTATATTAAAGGGATTTAAAACATTAGAGTTGTGTTTATCGAAAACATAATAATAAGAAACTTTGGAAAGAAGCCCCAGAAATTGTGTCATTTATGTTCACGTAATACATATTTACATACGTATTTACCTAATTGTATCTTATGTGCCACGTAAGATGTGGCACAGTGAGTTTCTGGTTATGAACAACCAATGGACAGTGTTTTCTTTCAGGAAGTCTCCTGAATAGGGTGGGGTTATGGATACTATGAAATGAAAGAACTCCAGTTGATGGTTTAGAATCTGGGGTTGGGGCCTCATTTCTGGGCATGTAAAAGACTACAATCAAGACATACAGGAAAAACAGCTTCTCATCCACTCTGGGGTAAATATTAGTGGTATATTGTTTTTTAGTAATAGTGGTATATTGTGTATTTTTAAATATATATGTATATATATATTTATACATATAATTTTACTGAAATTATTTAGTGGCATTACTGTGCAATCAAGTTTTACATTTTTGTAGCTTGTTTGTATTAGTTACTTTTCTCTAAAGGAACAGTACCTGGATGATGAATATGTATATTCTAATTTGTGGCTAGTTGAGATTCAAACCAACCATCACAGTACTCTAAGAATATATTTTGAGAGAAATTTTGTAATACTTTCAAAAATCTAGGCCATATTTGGGCACGTGGGAGACCACTTTATATTCTGACTCTCACAAAGGCTTTGGGAGGATGTTTAGGTGCCTATGAGAAGGAATGAAGAGAGAAAAAGTAGGAACTGCAAGAGTAAAGGCAGAGGAGTGACCATCCTGTAGTCCTCTTGGCTGTGCTGAGAGCACTGCCAGCCTTATACAGCCTGACAGCTCTGTGGATGTTGTTTTTTTTTTTTTTTTCTCTTTGCTCTTTGTGGGGCCAGACACCCTGCTTCCAAAAAATACACGGAGGCTTATTTTTTCTTATAAATGCCCGGCCTTACCTTGGCTTGTTTCTGGACAGCTTAAAAATTATCCCATCTACTGTTTACCTCTGGGCTTTTATCTTTCTCTATTCTATGTAACTGTCTTTACTACTTACTCTGTGGCTTGCTGGGTCGCTGGGTGGCTGACTCCTGGTGTCCTCTCCCCTTCTCTTTTTCTCACTCTTCTATTTTTCTTCCCAGATTTCTCCTTCTATTTATTCTCTCTGCCTGCCAGCCCCACCTATTATTTCTCCTGTCAAGCTATTAGTCATTCAGCTGTTTGTTAGGTCAATCAAATGTTTTAGACAGGCAAAGTAACATAGATTCACAGTGTTAATCAAATGCAACATAAAAGAATACAGCACATCTTTGCGTCATTAAACAAATGTTCCACAGCATAAACTAATGTAACACATCTTCAATTAATGTTCTACAACATTGCTTCAAACAACAGGTATCATGGAAGGAATTGTCTCCTCCACAAGTTAACAATGCAAATCCATTATCTCCACAAGTTAACAATGTAAAGGCAAATGGTCAAAGAAACTGAAAGGATTTAAAACTGATAAACTAACAAAAGGTTTTAATGAAATAAAAGTTTTATGCATATGAAATAAAAGTAAATACATATCTTATATTAGAGATAGGATTAGATTATGAAATGAAATAGCCTCTGTATATTTAGACTTATAGAAGGACTATAGATATTGACAGGTATTCATTGTGTGTGGGTTTCATAAAGATAATTATCTTTTGATTGAACCATGGAGTTTGAGCATATTCACTTCCCATAACCTCTCCTTTCACTCTCTTCCCCATTCTCCTCACTATTATCCTTCCTGCTTTCAAGTCAAATATACATATAGTTTACATATCTATTTAAAATCTAGAATCCACAGATGAGAGAAAACTTGATGTTTGTCTTTCTGAGGCCGACTCATTTTTCTTATATGCTGATGGCCAGTTGCATCCATAATGTAGCAAAGTCATTCTTACTTATTTATTTTAATGTCATTCTTTATGAAAGAATAAGACTTTATTTTACATACATTACACGCTCTCCTCATCCATTCATCTGCCAATGGGCACTTACACTGATTCTATAGATTGGTTTTGATAATGGTGCTATAATGACCATGGGTGTGCAAATATCTCTGTGAGACATTACCTTAACATCCTTTTCTGTGGTGAGTTCCACTGTGGATGTGTTATTTTTACAATCCACTTTTGTATTTCATCTTTTAAAGTTTTTTTCTTAGATTCTGCCTCAACAGAAAGAAATTGCCCTAAGACTGTGAGTCGCACATGTCCTGCCATATGGACAAATATTTGTCTTCTCTATGACTGCAGATGTTGTAGATCTTTCCTTTAATCTTCTTAAACCATTTACGAACAATATATCAATCTTCCTACCTTCCTGGGTGCTCCTAGGTAAGCACCTTCCTGCCTCCCTGGGTGCAATTATATGCTCCCAAGTAACCACCCTGTACCCTCATTAATGCATATAGTAACTCATAAAATATATAGCTTCAAAAACAAACCCAAATCCTATATGTAGGACTGTTGTAAAAACTATGGAGTGTGACACTCACTCATTTGAGAAGAAAGTACTCACACTTAGGTATGTCTTACTTCCTGTACATTTTAAGAAACCTATACCCATTCTCTGAGAAATGTCTTTTCTTAAACTTCATGCATAGCATATATATGAAAATACGTTATATAAACCCTAGTGTTTTGTAGGGATTTGTTTGGAAACTCTTCTTTGCATTGAAGCCAAGAAGAATGGTTTTTCTGAGTTGATATCTATTAAGGACTAGGGTACTCCTCAATTTCCTGTGAGTGACAAACCAAGCTGTGCCTCCACCCCGTGCTGCTTCATACTACCTTTTAAAACAGAACACTGCAGAGAAGACAGTAATAATTAGAAGACCAGAAATGAGTATACATCAAGAAAGGAAAAAAATAAAGGTTAATTTTCAAATGATTTATTTGGAGTTTGTAGTAGATGGACACACATTTCCAAAGACAACATCTCTGGGGAAGCTGGTATGTAATTGTTTACATGGAATGCAACCAACAAGTAACTGGCTTAGAATTTAAATGACAAAAATGATAACAAAAACCACCAAGGATGGAATGTTTTCCTTTTTTATAAAATAGTTCTCAGAGGAGTTGATAAGAAAATAGTAATGGTTTAAGTGGGTCTCCACCCAATTTAGTTTTTTTTTTTTTTTGTGTGTGTGTGTGTGTGTGTGTGCTTTTTCTAGAGCCCATGTATAAATCATGAGATAGCTACAAAGAACAGGTTGATATTTAGAAAAAATGTCTCTATACCCACAAAGACAGGCAAACTGATAGCCTAAGAACTCCCAAGAACACTATCTTGGAAAAAATATTTCTGGCCTTTCCCAGTAGGATAATAATAAACGCCTCCCTATAGACAATTTCTGTTCAGGCATCTGGGTAGTAGGAGATATTTTGTGTATATGTATATACACATATATACAATTTATGTGACATATAGCTATATGTATCTACATCATCAATATCTATATAACCTATATCTGTATGTTTCTATATCTATATCATTATATACATCATTTATAGCTGTATCTATATCTGTATTTCTATCTGTATCTATATCCTTATCTAGCTATATTCAGTTAGATAGATGGTGCAAATAAGTCAGTTAAGGCCAATCTGTCCTTGACTTCACCTTTTAATAATAAAAAGCCCTATTTCCTATTTTATGATGAGGCATAAATATACTTATCACAACCATCTGTTATGAAAATAAGGATCCACTTCATTCCTGCCTCTGGAGATCAGTTCCTCCCTCCACCTAGACTCATTACAGGAAACCAGCCCCGCCCCCCCCCCACACAAACCTCATGACTCCTGAATAATATGTTTGATCCTTTTGTATGCAAAGCTTTGTTTCCCAGACAAGGTTTCATGTGCAAAGCTTTTTAACAGGGGAAGTGAATTTCAGTCTCATTTGAAAGTTCAGCTAGAAAATAAGAGATTTTGACAGTGAAGACTTTTGGCCACAGATACAATGAACTTCCCACTCCTTTGCCTTCTCCGTCTCCTAATGCTTCATATCTGCACTCAAGAATCAGGTAATCCTATTTATTTTATATATCATTAGCTGGAAGTCAATGACTAACACCATGTCACAGGCTGTTTACTTTTTACTCCGGTAGGTAAAAATGAATGCATGCTAGGTTCTGTGTATTATTCATACACCAATGTAATCACCCAGATATCGAATCATTTAATGTGAGCACACTTGAAACAGTGACTATACAAAATGGGAGAAAGGTGGGAATGAAGGCAAAGTCGACTGCTTCTGAGGTATGTGAAACTTGCTCAAACTACACAGTTTCCTGCATATCTGTCTTATGTAACTATAAAGATAGCAGAGCTAGCTAGTGGCAAAGGATCACTTCACAACATATGTCTGTTTCTTTGAATAATGTCCTGTGTTCACAGTCTATAGCACACATGTTTGGAGAGATGTTGGGCCCCAGCCCACACAGGGTCTCTGTGAGTTTATAACCACAGATGCATCCTGTTTCTAGTCCTAGATTATAGCCTGGGTCTTGCCATGCTGCCATCAAAAACATGAGTTCTTACACTTGGGGTTTTTCCCACTGTGCCATAAGTCTGTATATAAGGCTGTTCCTCCCCTACAAAAAATGTAGACACACACTCATTCTCTTAGTGCTCATTTTTAAATTAAATCTCCAGGCTTTTGCTCCATACTCAGACTTAGTCATGGTGCAGATGCCAAAAGTGAAGGTTCCATTAGACTTAGTTGTGGTGCAGACGCCACACATACATACCTTTTATTGTTGAGATTCGCTTGTTGTGACGCTAATCTTGGTCATTAAGACTTTTTTATTATGTGGGCAAGCCTATATGTAATTTGCTTTATGGATTTCCTTTTTTTTTATTAGTTCAAATTCAGAACAAGCTTGTTTCACATGTCAATCCCTTCTCCCTTCTCCCTCTCCCTTCCCTCACCGACACCCCCTCCTATCCCACCCGACCTACCCCTCCACTCCATCCACCCTCCACTCCCCAGGCAGGGTAGGGCGGACCCTCCACAGGGGCTCTGCGTAGGGCCCTCCATGGGGGCTCCCCAAAATCCACCACATTATCCTGGGCTAGGCCTAGGCCCTCCCCCATGTGTCCAGGCCGAGAGAGAGCATCCCTTCACGTGGGATGGGCTCTTAGAGTCCCTTCTTACACCAGGGAAAAATACTGATCCACTACCAGGGGCCCCATAGTTTGCCTAGGCCTCCTCATTGACATCCACATTCAGGAGTCTGGATCAGTCGTGTGCTGGCCTCCCAGACAGCAGTCTCCTGTGCTCCTTCTTGTTGAGGCCAGCTGGTTCTGTGGGTTTCAACAGCCTGGTAACGACCCCTTTGCGATTCATTCCTCCCCCTCTGCAACTATGTTCCGGGGTTGGGGCCAACTTCCTTGGAATGGGCCAAGGCCTGGGTTCTCTCTGTGAACTAAAATCTTACAAAACTTTTTCTCTCAGCAAACTAAAATCTTTCAGTATCACATTTTCTCTACCCATTCTTTAGTTGAGGGGCATTTAGGTTGCTTCCAGCTTCTGGCTATTACAAATAATGCTGCTATGAACATCATTGAACAGATGTCCTTGTTATATGAATGTGCATCTTTTGGGTATATGCCTAAGAGTGGAATTGCTGGATCTTGTGGTAGACTGATTCCCATTTTCTATAAGGACTATTCTTATTCAAACCACCACATTTCACTTTCTGGAACCCATAGACTTGCAGACATATAATTATGCAAAAAATGCATTCACTCTAAATTCAAAATGTTCTATAATCCATAGCAGTCTCAACACTGTTTAACAGTTCAAAGACTCTTCACTGTATTCCCCTGTAAAGTCAAATTAAAAAACAGATCACATACTTCCTTTATAGTGTTAAAATGGCAGGTAAGAAGCCATGTGACAGATCTTAGGTGGAGGATTTTACTGGGGGAGAGGAATGGAAAGGGAGAGAGAGACCAGCCTCTGGAGACAGGAGCTGTGGAAGTGTGGAAGAGAGACAGGAGGTGGGAAGGACCTGCCTTTTATGAGGGAACCTAGGACATGTGTTGTAGGAGTGAGCAATATGCCAGGTCCCCAAGGGACATGACAACATAATGCATGAATGCTAACACTTTCAATATGCAATGGCACAGGATATGCATTACCATTCCAAAAGGGAGGAAAGGGTGCATAGTGAAAAAATATTGAACCGAAACAAGAACAAAACTAGTAGGGAAATTCCAATGACTGCAACTCCATGTCTCAGCTCAAAGAGCCCTTCAGATCTACCACTTATTTCAGCTTTGTTGACTGAAACACTCCTCTCTCTTGAACTGGATCCACACATACTCTGCAGATTTCCCTGGCAGGTATCCTATGGTTCTTTGATCTCCAGCATCTTGAGTTCTCCAACAAAATCCAAGCTTCACCTTCATTGCTTCATTCAATGGTCTTTCTGAGCCTCCATGCAGGGACACTGCTGACACATGCCTGACCTCAGCATCTTTACTTACCTGCAGATGGAAATTTTATAGTCCCTTTCTTGTATTCTTATCTCTAAAGCCAGAACCATGTGGCCAAATCTGCCAAGTTCCACTGCTTGTTGGGGCTGGAACTTGGGCCACTTGTTCAAATGTATTTCCACCAGCCTTTTATTGTCAATATCCATCACTGTTTAAACTTTTCTGTAATTCTTTCTCACAATTTGGAAGCTTAGCTGCATGGGGTCTTGCCCTCTGGTCTCTGCTCCCTTTAATCCATTTAGCATCAGGGTTTTCTTGAAAACTTTTATCTTGATTACCAACCATAACTTCCTTACAATCCATGCTGGTCCTTTTCTCCTTAAACTGTGCATTTTGCCCTTTTCCTTGCTCAGCCTTCTCCTTTTCATTAGAGATCTGCATGGGTGTGATTACTAAGAACCATATAACAGAGTCAATAGTAGTCTCTCTCTTGAAATCTCCTCTGCCAGTGCCATTATTCCTAAAATCTTCAAATTAGCCTATGTCAAATTTTTAGGACAAGGGCAAAAAACAGCCACATTCTTTGCCAAAATATCACAAGTAGAGTCATTAGGTCACTTCCTAATATTATTCTACTCTAAAACCTTTCAGCCAAATCATCATAATCTACATTGCTCTAAGCACTACAGCATTGCTACTACTATGGCTCATTAAGCCATGTTTAAAACATTCAGCTGTTTTTTCTAGTCCAAAGTCCCAAATTCTACATTATGCCTACAAGAAGAATAGTCAGTTCTGTCACAGCAATTATCCTGAATATCCTGGTCCCTGATCCCTGGTTCCCACCTCTGTCTTGGTCACTGTTCTATCATTATGAAGAGACACTATGACCAAGACAATTCTTATAAAAGAAAGCATTTAATTGGGTCTTGTTTACAGTTTCTTTCTTTCTTTCTTTTTTCTTTTTCTTTTTTGAGACAGGGTTTCTCTGTGTAGCTTTGGAGCCTATCCTGGCACTCGCTCTGGAGACCAGGCTGGCCTCGAACTCACAGAGATCTGCCTGCCTCTGACTCTGCCTCCCTAGTGCTGGGATTAAAGGCATGCGCCACCAACGCGTGGCCTGTTTACAGTTTCAGAGGTTTAGTACATAATCCTCATGGCAGGGAGAATAGCAGCATTTAAACAGACATGGTAGCTGAGACTTGTACATCCAGATCCACAGGCAGCAGGAAGAGACAGACACTGGGTCCGGTTTGCACTTTTTATAGTTCAAAGAGCACTTTCAGTGACATACTTCCTGAAACAAAACCACACCTACTCCTGAAGGCCACACCACTAATTCCCCTCAAGTTGTTTGACTCCTTGAGTACCAAACACTCAAATATATCAGCCTATAAAGACCATTCTTACTCAAACTCCCATCCTCTCCTTATCTTAACCTCTTACAATGTGGGCTTATTTTATCTGTTGATAACTTTAAGAATAATACATGGCTACTTAGAATCTATTTATTTGTTTCTGGTTCTTTAATATATTGATAGGATTTATTTATCCATGATTTTAGAGGAAACATAGTGTATTAAATCTCATTTTTGAATGAGTTTCTTTGTGTAGTACTATAATTTTTATGCATCCTATTCTTTTATTAATTATTTGAGGATTTTATATAATGTGTTTTGAACATATTTTGCCCCCATTCCTTAAACTGCTTTCAGATTTGCCTTCACTTTGTCAATCTAACTTCATATTCCTTAAAAAAAAAACCTCCTGAGTCCAATGTGTCTGGTCCTTATGCCCATAAGTATGGGTCTATTCAATGCAATGTGTTACAAAATAAATTCTTAATTTGCAATTTGGTTTTATTATGACAAATAGCCAGGTGGTAGTAACACACACCTTTAATTCCAGTACTTGAGAGGCAGAACCAGGCAGATCTCTGTGAGTTCAAGGCCAGTTTGGTCTACAAAGTGAGTTCCAGTATAGGTAGGGCTGTTACATAGAGAAACCCTGTCTCAGATGAAGGAGGAGGAGGAGGAGGAGAAGAGAACATAACAAAAAATATAGCATGACAAATAATATTCATATGAATATCCTTATTCATGTTCTTGGAGAATACATGCTTGCACTTCTGTGAGATTAATGGTATGAGTAGACTTACTTCTTGTAGGGAATGTTTATGTTCATCAATAAGGTAACTCAAAGGGTTTTCACTAAGCATCAAACAGAATTTCCACTTCCTTCAGCAGTGTATGTGAAGTGTATTGTTTCTGCACATTCTACAACTTGACGTTGTTTGCCTTTCATTGTAGACATCTGGTACATATGTAGCCCTCAGTTTAACCTTTATTTTCTTGATAAACAAGTTGATCACCTTAAGCAAGTATATGAGCAATCCAGTCAGGTGTGGAATAATATATACTTTATGGTATATGTGTACATATATACATTAGTAATATGATATTGGCTTGGTCTCATATATATATGTTAAGTATATATACATGTTATCTTATATATTAACTATAATTCTTAATTTTTATCATTAACATGTATATATTAGAGAATATGTGCCAGAAACCATTTTAGAAAATAGATATTCAATGTTGAAGAACATGCTATAATTCTCCCTCTTCTTTTGTTCTCTGTCTCTGTGTCTGTTTGTCTGACTGTCTGTCTGGCTCTGCCTTTCTCTCTCGTACTTCTGAGGATCCAATCCAGGGCCTTGAATGTGACAGACAAGCATCCTACCACTCTAATAATATATATAGAATCTCCAGAATTTTTCCTTTTTACTGAGACATAGTCTTAACTATGTATCATAGGTTGGTCTTGAATGCACAGTCCTTCCTCCATCTAAAATATGTCATCACACATGCCTCATTTTTTACTGAGCAGAAGAGGCAATGAAAATGGTGATCCTAAAGCAGGAAGACAAGAGCTGTTTGAATATTCTGCAAAAGTATGGAAGTATATATCCCTTAACAATTAACCTCATTTTCAGAGTCTTCACAGAAGATAAAACATAACAATTATGAGACAGCTGTCCTAGGAAGAAATGTGACCATCTTCTGCAACTTGACAAGTCTGGCAAATGTTCTGCAAGTTACCTGGCAGAAAATCCAAGGCTCCTTGCATGAAAACATTGGCACTTACAGCCATAAATATGGAGAAAACATTCTTCCACCATATGTAAACAGGCTGCAATGCAATATCCTGGAACCCAATGCCTCCTTCATAACTATCCAAGAATTGACATTCGAAGATGAAGCCTGCTACAAGTGTCTGTTTAACACTTTTCCAGATGGCAGCTATGGAGAACAAACCTGTCTTAACATTCTAAGTATATAACCCTTTTCTAGGGTTCTGTAATGGAATAGACATCCTGGGGTTATAAGATTTAAGGACATTGTCTAGGGAGTTACATGAAGTAAAACTGTTGATGAGTTTAGGTTATTTGGACAGGAGAAAATAATGGCAGCAGATGTAATTGTGCACTGAGACAGGACCTTCTCCCACCCAACATCACTTCTTTATATTATATTGCACTGGTTTCTGTTAAGTGGGGAAAACCCAGGAAGAGCATCAGAATTTTGCTACTAAGGCAATGGGAAGGTATGAGAAAAGGAAGAGATAGCAGTGAAGAATGAGGAAAGGTGAAGACTAGAGTTTCCCAGCCTTCAAGTAAGCAATATGTCCCAGTACTACTGAGAGCACCAGAGTTTCTTACTGTGTTGCTGTGTGGATGTTGGGTATATAGAATATAATTTATAGTTGCATAGAACTTAAGACAGCATTCAGTGAACAGAGGAAATGGTATTGTAGTTTTATGACATGTGAGGGGAGGTATTCAAGAGGGATGTGTTTTTGGCATTTATGTGTCACTTGAAAATTGGAAAAACACTATATCCTTTAACAGCAGAGAATTTGGTGTGGCATACCTTTAATTCATCTCCTTCTCTTTGTCTCAGCTGTATCTCAATTAATAACTGAACTCCATTCTGTTCCTGGCTCTGAAGATCTCCTTAACCTTCATTGTTCAGCTGTGGGAAAGCCTGCTCCTGGAATCTCCATTTACCCTTCCCAAGACCTAGTGTACTCACAAGAGGAGTTATTTACTAAGAACCCAAATACCACAGTGACCATCACTAAAATATACAACATCTCTTTGAAAACTGTGAGGTCATTGGGTCTTCATGATGTAGTTGTGTGCATGACTCACCCCCTAAGATATGAAGAGAAGATAGTTCCTCTGCCAATAAATCAAGAAGGTAAGCAGAAGTGACAGTGAAATCAAAGGGGACAGTTGAAGCTGGGAAAATAGTTGGTCTGTAAAATGCTTGCCATGAGAGCATGTAGACCCAAGTTTGAACCCCAGCACCCACATAAATGACATTCCTCTGGAATCATAATTTAAAAGCTTTTCTTCCCTGGTGGTTGGATTATAGGCTGGTAATCCTTTGCTCTGTGTGTAAAATCCATGTATGAGTGAGTACATACCATGTTTGTCTTTTTGTGACTGGATTAACTCTCTCAGAATGGTTTCTTCTAGTTCCATTCATTTGCCTTCGAATTTCAAGATTCCATTTTTTTCCCACTGAGTAGTACTCCATTTTGTAAATGTACCACGTTTTCTATCCATTCTTCAGTTGAGAGGCATTTAGGTTGCTTCCAGGTTCTAGTGATTACAAATAATACTGCCATTAACATAGTTGAACAGATGTCCTTGTTGTATGAATGTGCATCTTTTGGGCACATGCCTAAGAGTGGAACTGCTGGATCTTGTGGTAGACTGATTCCCATTTTTCTGAGGAATCGCCATACTGATTTCCAAAGTGGCTGTACGAGTTGGCACTCCCACCAGCAGTGGAAGAGTGTTCTCCTTTCTCCACATCCTCTCCAGCATAAACTATCATTGGTGCTTTTTATTTTAGCCATTCTGACAGGAGTAAGATGGTATCACAGAGTTGTTTTGATTTTATTTCCCTGATGCCTAAGGATGTTGAACACTTTCTCATGTGTCTTTCAGCCATTTTAGATTCCTCTATTGAGAATTGTCTATTTAGTTCTGTACCCCACTTTTTAATTGGATTGTTTGGTATTTTGGAGACTAGCTTCTTGAGTTCTTTGTAAATTTTGGAGATCAGCCCTCCTTTTTCTTCTTAATAGTTCTTTGACTGGTGTGAAATGGTATATCAAAGTAGTTTTAATTTGCATTTCCTTGATAACTGACATTGAGTGGTTTTAACTTACAGAAAGCCTATTAAGGCAACTCAGTGGCTAAAACCAGAGGATGGAACTGGATTTCTAGCACCTATGTGGCAACTAAAAATTCTCTGCAATTCCAATTCAGAGCTCCAACTTCTTTCAGCTCTATTGACTGCAAGTGTAGACACACTACTTTCTTTTGGTCTGGTTCCACTCCCTGTTAACGGCTCTCCATGGCAGGTATCCCATGACTCTGGTATCTCCAACATCTTGAGGTCTCCAAGGCAATCCGGGCTTCACATTCACAGCTTCATACAGTGGCTTCTCTAGACCTCCATTCAGAAACACCCCTGACAAATGCCTGGCCTCAGTGGCTCTTCTTAGTGTAGGATGGAGATTCTATAATCCTTTTCTTCTATCCTTGAGTCTAAAGCCAGAACCATGTGTCTGAAGCTGCCATGTTCTGCTTCTTGGTAGGGAAGGAACATGGTTCCCCCAATTACATTTTCATTAGCTGTTATGAATGGTTTCCTTTACTGCCTAAACTTGGCTATCCTGGAACTTTCTATGTAGACCAGGGTGGCCTTGAATTTAGAAATCCACTAGCCTCTGCCTCCTGGATGCTAGGATTAAAGGCATGAACCACCATAACTGGCCTTCAGGTTTTCTTTAGTTCTTTTTCACAGGTTGGAAGCTTAGGTGGGTAGGGTCTTGCCCTGAGGTCACTACTCTCTTTATTCCATTCAACAACTGGCTCTTCTTTAATCTGTTTATTTCCTTGAACATATGACTTAGTTTCATTCCACTTCCTGGTGCCCTTTCCCACTCAAATTGTACCTTTTGTACTTTTACTTGATCAACTTGTTTCTTTTCATTATAAATCTATATAAGAGTAAACACTACTAACTGCAATAATACTAGTAACTGCAATAACTACAATAACTAGTAATCTATATAAGAGTAAAAACTAGTAACTAGGGTCTTTGTTTTAAGATTTCTTTTGCCAATGTAATTAATCCCAAACCCTTTACTTTAACCTAAGGCAGACTTTTTGGACATGGAAGAAACAGCCACATTTTAGCCAAAATATGATAAGACAGACATAATACTGGAGAAGATGAGAGTTCCACATCTTGATCCAGAGGCAGCAGAAAGAGACTGCCACACTAGGCTTGGCTTGAACATGAGATCTCAAAGATCACCAGTAACACACTTTCTCCAACAATGCCACACCTCCAAAAAGTGCCACTCCCTTTGGCTCAATCATTCAAACTCAGGAGTCTATAGGAGGCTTGTTCCCAGAGCCTAAAAGGGATTCAAATTATTCTCCAAGGGAGAATAAGGCTTGGAAAATTAAATAGACCATCCAACTAATATTAGTTATACTGTAAGTGTTTAAGGTAAGTATAATAATACTCCATGAATTTTAAAATAAAATCAGGTAATATAATCGTTCTTCAAAATATACATTGACAGGGCAAGCAGTTTGTTGCAAATCAAGAAAAGAATAAGGGAGGTTTGTGTATTGTTTTCTCTCCCTATTTTGCATAAGTACAAGCTAGTGAGTTTTTCATGCCCTCACTTGATGACATAGTGTGCAGTAAGCCTCTGGCTTTAAATCTTGTTTCTGTTTCTATATATTGACAACTTTCATAGAATTCCTGCAATGAGAATGGAATGAGAACATATAATGATATAATTTAGTAAGGAGACCTGGTCTACTTTGTTCTGAGAATAGGATATAATGTTGACATTTGGTTTTTATAAACTCAGAGGCCTAGTGAGAAAGATGCAACTTTCCATAATTTGGTCACATTACCCCAAGAACCAAAGAGAATCACTAATCATCAGTATTTTGAATGTTTTCTTATTTCATGGAGAATTTCCTCCTTTTAATTCTACTGATTTTTTTTAGAAACCTCATCAAAATTATATTAAGCCATCTGGGTGGGTTCTACTTCATTTTAATATCTGTGACTTTTTCTTTTCTTCATATTGTCTGAGAGATTGTATAAATATTTTCTCCAAGTTCTCTCATGAAATTTTTCCTTCTTTTGAGAACACACTTTTTAAATTTAATTTTTCAACTTAAAATGAAAATTGTCAATTTTGTTAATTAAGTTATATTTTTGGCAATCACACACACATATACATATATAATTCATTTTGATTCTTTTCTGTCTCTTTCCCTTTCTTATCTACCTCCCATTCCAATCATCTCACCTCCACGTTTCTTCTCCCCACTACTCACTCTCCTAGGCTCATGACATTTGATCTTACCTTGTGACTCACTTAGTTTAACTAGGGTCATCACTATCCACTGGAGACTGTGGGGGTAACCAGTGGATGGATAAACAACTGAAGCCAAGGTTTTTCCAGTCTTCCTGAATATATCAGTAGGAAATACTTAAGTATTGCAGGGTGTGGAATACCCTTCTCCACCCTTGCTTGGCAGTTGGTGGGCTAAAAGTGTTCATTCTTTCAAAAACTTTTCCTCGATACTTAGGTTCAGAAAGTCATGTCTTTCTTAAGTATATCTGGAAATAATAACTAGAAAGTCTTCAGTCATCTTCTGTTTCACTATTTGTCTTCTTCCTTCATCTTCAGAGCTCACATTAAATGTTTTCTAAGTCTATTTCTTCACAATTTCTTGTCATTGAAGGCTATATCAATATTCTAATTTTTAAGGAGTCTCAAAAGTATTAAAGATAAGCAATTGTGTTATGTTTGTTTTTTGAAACTGAAGTCGGCCAACTCCTTTTCCTGGTCAATTTTAACAATTCAAACCATTTGGTTATAGGAATTAAATACTAAAAGTATCTTCTATAAATCTGTTGGCTGTGCTGTTATTGTTAGTTTTCATTATTTACTAAAATTAAGGTTTCCATAAGAAGTAATTTATCATTTCAGAAGATGGTTCTTCATTACTTAGTTCTATGACAAATATTAGTATTGTGAATTCCTGATTCTGTTGAAATCCTTGTGAAGTTATTTTGATTTGTAGGAATTTTCTTCAGAAAAGAGTTCATATGTCAGTGTCAAATTCTTCACATTCAATCTCTCTACCCAGGTAAAATGGATATGTAGTATCTCAATGAAATAGAATATTACAAAATAGATAAAATCACATCTATACAGTCCAAGGAAAGCCATAGTGCCTAGATTTAAGGTAGGACATTCCTAATTATATTCAAGGAAAAGTAGAAACTACTACCTAGGGTTTTCCTTTTCTTTCTACAGTAATGAGAAAGCATCTTATATAACAAATTGCAATGTCAATCATCTGTAGCCAATAAAAACATTATATATTAAGAACCCCAAGAGATAAGTATAGTGTATCCAGAGAAAGAATATGTTCTGGTTTATGTTTTTCAGGTACCAAGAATCATCCTTTAGAGTGGCAGAACACTGCAGTTGTATTCATTATTCTCTTTTTTATTTCATGTATCATCATTGCTACTGTTCTCTATTTTAAAGTAAAAAAGAAAAGGTAAGTTATATGATAACTTGATGTGGTAGATAAACTAGGTACAATAGCACTAGTTAGGATTACTATTTTTAAAAAATTCCAATTAGTACTGAAAAAGTTCATCATGAAGAGGATATTGAAGAAAAATCTTGTTTCTATAGGCTCAGCAGTTTCTGACATCAAATGGTCATAAAACTGGACTGTTGGCAAACATTTCTGAGTGTAAGATTTTTTTTAAAAAGAAAACATTTGTTTATTTTTATTTTAGTTTACAAGTGTTTTGCCTGTGTACATCTGGTGTCTATGAAAGCCAGAAGAGGGTGTCAAAATTCAAGTTATAGGCATTTATGAAACCTCCATATGGGTACTGGGAAATGAACTAGGGTCCTCTGAACAAGCAACAAATGATCTGAACTGCTGAGCCATCTCTCCAGTCTAGTTTTAAAATTCTTTATTCATCTTGGGGCAGTGGTGGTACATGCCTTTAATCCCCTCACTGGGGAGGCAGAGGCAGGCAGATCTCTGAGGTCCAGGCCAGCCTGGTCTACTGAGTTCCAGAACAGCCAGGGCTACACAGAGAAATCCTGTCTTGAAAAACTGGGGAAAATAACCTTTATTGAGAATAAAGTTTTTCAGACTACAGCATAAGACCTAGGACAGACGGTGTCGAGGGAGAAATGTAGGATGGACGCCTGAGATGGGTCCAACTGAGGCATAAGGTGAAATTGAGATCTTACTTTATAGGATTAATATAGTAAAATACCCACCAATTTGTCCAGCTCTCCTGGTGGAAAACAATTCATGATGGAAAGATAAATGGAAATAAGATACTAGGCCATGACAGTAAAAACCATAAACGTAATTGGGATCATGTGATTTATTTTGCTGTCATTGTGTTCTATAAATTAAAAAAAAAAATCTGTGGGGTTTTCTTCCACACCATTTCAATCCAAGAAAATGTATAAACCAATGAAGCATGTGCACCTGATGTATAATCTAGAAGTCTCTCTCAGCTGAGGAGAAGTCTTAGAAGGCAATGATGAAGGAGCATTTTGAAGAGACTGTCCCAGTAGTCAAATGAAACAGAAAACAGATGGTAACTGTCTAGACTGAAGAGGTAGAAAAGAGGAGGGGGGGTTAAAGTAATATTCAGGATGGAATGAGTGAGAAGAAAGACTTATCTTACTCAAGGTAAGTGTTTTAGCATTAAAGACAACTTCTACCAAGCTATACAGGAATAGAGAGAGAGCAAGCCAACTTTGGAGGGAGGATTAAGAATTCTGATTTGAACGTTGTCATTTTTAAATGACTATTTTATACTTGAGAGAATATGTTAGTTAAGTATCTGCATGTATGAATCTGGGATTTGTGGATAAGATGATAAATTTTGGAATATAAGGCTCTGGTGTCCATGGAAACAGATTAAGAACTATTGCTCTCACTACTTTAAAGTAAAACAATAAAAGTTGTAGTAATTTGCTCAAACTCAAGAAAATTTGTGTATGAATTTATCAAACTCTACTTAGTACCCTTTTCTTTCAATGTGCTACCAGGAAGGGGAGTGTTACGGCAGTATTCCGTTTATTTCTGTAACAGTGTCATGGTATCTCTAGGTCAGAAAACACCCCTGAACCATCATCAGCACAGATGCCCAACCCTTTATCAACACTGGTGCCCACACCATCATCAACAGAGACTGAGAACTTAGTGAATCAACATCACCAGACAAAGACATAATTTTGTAGTATGTGATTTCTTTTTTGTCACTATATTCTTTAAATTTTGGAAGTAACCTTACAAATTTGATCACCTATTGGCTCGCAGCAATTATCATTTTAGACACAAATGGAGAAAAAATTTTGTTTCAGTGTGTAATTCTATTCTGGAAGTAGTAATCAAGTGAGGTTTTGATTTTGTTAATGTCTTTACATTTTGATGTTAAAATTAGATTTAACTGGTACATAATAGTTATAGATATTTATGGAGTACCATGTATATTTAATCATGTCGTACTTGTCTTTCTATCCCTGGAATTTTTTTTTTTTACTTAATATGGATGAGCCCTAAGTTCCATTCATTTTGTTGCAAATGTGTGTACCACATTTTCTCTATTCATTAGTTCCACAGAGGTAGTTGCTTCATTTTTCATCTGTTGTAAACAGTGCTAAAGAGAACATGGAAGACCAGACATCTCCTCAGCACTTTCAACATATTAATTTCTTTTCCCTTAATATGTATATCCTGTAGATCAGATAGTAGCTTTGCTTTCAACTCTTTTCGAAGCCTTCATACTGTTTTCCATAATGGCCATACTAATTAACATTTCACCTTCAGTATGCAAAGATTCTGTTCTCCATATGCATACATAACTTTTCTTTGGTGTTGTTTGTTTAAAAATTTAATTTTCATTTTACATACCAACCTCAGTTTCTCTTGCTTGCCTTCCTCCCACCCCTCACCTTCCACCCTTCTCACCCTCCCCCCATACACTCCTCAGAGGGATAAGGCCTTCCTTGGGAAGTCAACAAAATTTAGCATACCAAGTTGAGGCAGGACCAAAACCCTCCCACCTGTATGAAGGCTGAGCAAGGTATCCCACCATAGGGAGTGGGCACCAAAAAAGGCAGTTCATGCCTCTGAGATAGGTCCTGGTGCCATTGCCAGGACTCCTTCCCCCGACAGATCAAGGCACATAACTGTCACCCACATTTAGAGGGTTTAGTTTGGTCCCATGAAGGTTCCCCAGCTGTCAGTCCATATAGTCTATGAGCTTCCACTAGCTCAGGTCTGTGGTTTTTCCCATCATGCCCTTGACCCCTTTGTTCATTTGTTCCTCCTCCTCTTCAATCAAACTCCAAGAGCTCAGCCCAGTGCTTGGTTGTAGATCACTGCATCTGTTTCCATCAGTTAATGGATACAGGTTCTATGATGTCGTTTAGGGTAGTCACTAATCCAATAAAAGGGGAAAGTCCATTCTGACAGCCTCTCCACTACTGTTAGGAGTCTTAGCAGAAGTAATCCTTGTGGATATCTAAGAACTTCTCTAGCACCAAATTTCTCCCTAACTACATAATGGCTCCCTCTATCAAGATATCTCTTTCATTGCTCTCCCCCTCATTCTCTTCCCCAACTCTATCTTCTTGGATCTCTCATGTTTCCATCCCTCATCCCCTCCCCTCCACCCCCTCCCAGTTAACCCAGGAGATCTTAACTATTTTCCCCTCCTGTGGCCTTCCATGCGTGTCCCTATGGTCCCCCCTTTTACCTAGCTTCTCTGAGGTTGTAGATTGTAGCTTGGTTATCTTTTGCTTTACATCTAATATCCATTTATGAATGAATACATCCCAAGTTTGTATTTCTGGATCTGGGTTACCCCACTGAGGATTTTTTTTTCTAGTTCCATCAATTTGCCTGCAAATTTCAAGATGTTATTTTTTTTACCTGTGGGTAATACTGCATTGTGTAAACACACTACATTCTCCTAGGTTGATGGGCATCTAGGGTGTTTCCATGTTCTCCCTATTACAAATAATTCTGCGATGAACATAGCTGAGCAAATTTCCTTGTGATTATGCATCCTTTGGGTATATGCACAAGAGTGGTATTGCTGGGTTTTGAAGTAGATTGATTCCCAATTTTCTGAGAAACTGTCATGATTTCCATAGTGACTGGACAAGTTTATACGACCATCAGCAGTGGAGGAGAGTTTCCCTTACTTCTCATCCTCTCCAGAATAAGCTGTCATTACTGTTTTTGATGTTAGTAATTCTGATAGGTGTAAGATGGTATCTCAGAGTTATTTTGATTTTCATTTCCCTGATGATTGAGGATGCTGAGCAATTCCTGAAATGATTTTTGACCAAGAAAGAGGGCCTAGACCCTCCTGCAAATGATGTGACAGACATTGATGGTCCTGTGGATGGCCTCACTATCTTTGGGGAGGGGGTGGGGATAGGTTGGGGGCTGGTTGGGAGCATGAGAGGATGGGAGGGCAAGGGAATGGGGTGATTAATATGTAAATAAAAGTGCTTCTAAAATTAAAAAAGCTATTGTCAGTTGCATAGTGCTGTATGGCTTTATTACAGCAAATCTGCAATTGCACTGCCTATTGAATGTTCGCCCCATTCTTCAGCAATCACAGAAACATAGCAGAATATAGAAGTATGTCCTGTTTTCAATTTCTTAAAATTTTTGTTTTATGTGTATGGATTGTTTGCCTTCATGTTTGCCATGTGTGTGCCTGGTAACTGAGGATACCATTATTCCCTCGTATCAGTAGTTACAGAAGGTTGTGAGAGCATCTATGTGTTTACTGGGAATGGAATTCAGGTCTTGTGAAAAGCAGCCAGTATTCTTAATCCCTGAGTCTTTTCACCTTTCTAGACCTACTGTCTCTATATTCAGTTCCCTCTCTCTGTCTTTGATTTAGGGTTTCTTATAGCCCAGGGGGCCCACCTACCTAACTCACAAGTCATATGACTCATAGTAAGATTATAGAAACACATTTGTATTTTTTTGTGTGGGAAGCTATAGAGCCCATTGCTAATGGTTTGCTTGTTCTGAGTTAACCTGCAATCTAGGAAGCTCGAGAGAAAAGGGTGACTGGTCGCGGTGCCTGTGAATCCTCCTCCTGCTTCACAGAGATGATGATTATGGACAGTAGAATTCCACTGCTACAGAGAGAAGACAGCAGAGAAGAGACAGATGATGTAAATCTCAGTGACAAGACTGACAACCTGACCATGTGGGGAAAGACTAAACTTTAAAATGATTGGTGGCCTGTTTCCCTCCATCACACCATCTGCCTCAAGAAGGGATGGAAGAAAGATCTTTAGTGTGTAAATCCATTGCCTTCTCTGATTGCTGGTTCTATGTGCATAGCATGGATTAATTGCTCAACTCCTGATTATTGCCTACGTTCCAGATAGCTCAGACCTAGTCACAGCTGAAGATCGTGAAATCAAATTAGTTACTCTTCTCTGATGGTTAATAGATTCTACATGGGGTTCCCTGAGATAGGAAGACCCTCCATGAATGGGGTGAAAGCATCCAATGAACTAGACCCCAAAGTGAATAAAAAGGAGAAAGAATGCCAGGTGAACACCAACAGTGACCTCTGTTTGCTTCCTGATTATAGATGCCATGTGACCAGAGGTCCATGCTTCTGCTGCTGTGCCTTCTTCACCATGAACTGTGAGTTAAGACATCACCTTTCTTCCTTCCTTAAGTTGCTTTTCTTATGAGCTGTTGTTGGTTGCTTTTTATTCTTTGCTCTTTGGGGGGCCCGCCACCCAGCTACCAAATAAATCACACAAAGAAACTTATTCTTACAAATTCCTTGTCTTGACTTGTTTCTTTTTCTTTTTTAAAAATTTTTGTCATTTTCTTTCTTTTTTAAATTTAAATTCTTTAATTACTACTCATATTTACATATCCATCTCCCCCATTCCCTTGCCCTCCTAACCTCCGGTGTTCCCCACCAACACCCCCGAACCCATCCCCAAACTCCTCCCCAGGAATAGTGAGGTCCTCCACCAGGGACCTTCAAAGTCTGTCATATCGTTTGGGGGAGGACCTAGGCCCTCCTTGCTGTATCTGGGCTTCAATAGTATCCCTCCATAGGAAATGGGCTCCCGAAGTCCACTCGTGCTCTAGGGTTAAAGACTGGCTCCCCTGTTAGAGGTCCCATAGACTGTCTTGGCCTCCTAGCTGGCATCCACATTCAGAGGGCTTGGTTTGGTCCAATGCTGTTTCCCCAGCTTTCTGACTAGGGTCTCCATGCTCTCACTATGTCAGGTCAACTGTTTCTGTGGGTTTCTGCAGCACCGTCTTAGCTGCTTTGCTCATGCCTCCTCTCCCTCCACAACTGAATTCCAGGGGTATGGTTCAGTGCTTAGCAGTAGGTGACTGTTTCTGCTTCAAACAGCTACTGGATGAAGGCTCTAGGAATGGCAACCAAGGTAGAAACCTATCTCATTATAGGGGAAGGGCATCAATGGCATTTTCTCCACCACTCCTTGTGTCAGGTCAACTGTTTCTGTGGGTTTCTGCAGCACCGTCTTGGCTGCTTTGCTCATCCCTCCTTTCTCTCCACAATTGAATTCCAGGGGTATGGTTCAGTGCTTAGCAGTAGGTGACTGTTTCTGCTTCAAACAGCTACTGGATGAAGGCTCTAGGAATGGCAACCAAGGTAGAAACCTATCTCATTATAGGGGAAGGGCATCAATGGCATTTTCTCCACCACTCCTTGGATTCTTAGTTGGGGTCATCCCTGTGGATCCTTTAACATTTCCCCTGTGCCAGACCTCTCCTCTCTCCATACCTATAATGTCTCCCTATATCATGGCATCTCCTTTTTTGGCCTCTTCTATTTCTCCCCTTTCTCAGGCCTCTTGTTCTCCTCCCTCCTCCCCTCCTGTCCTTCCCACTACCCTCCTCTCCACCCATGTCCCATGATCCCTCTTAGTTCAGGGGTTCTTGTCCCCCTCCCCTTCTTCAAGGGACTATGCAATCTTCCCTTGGGGTCCTCCTTGTTTCCTAGCTTCTCTGGCAGTGTGGATTTTAGAGTGGTAATCCTTTCCTCTATTTCTAAAAAATCATATATGAGTGAGTACATACCATGTTTATTTTTTTGTGACTGGGTTACCTCATCCAGGATGGTTTCTTCTAGTTCCATCCATTTGCCTGCGAATTTTAAGATTCCATTGTTTTTGTTTTTGTTTTTCTGCTGAGTAGAA